CTTCCAGGAGGCCCTGGGCCAGCGCCAGGTACCCTGAGGCCTGCTCGGGCCGTCGCGGCTTCCGCCGCTTCCTCAGCGCTTGGGCTTGCGCCAGCTCCTCCTGCCAGCGCCGACGGAACTCCTCCAGGCCGTGGTCGTCCATAGTCGCTGCTCCGGGGCCTCCGTACCCTCCTTCGCCAACCGGTGCTACGGCACAATTCCTTCGCGGGAAGTGTCCGCCGCGACCGGAAACAGCAACGGTAGCGCTTTTGGGTTCCGGGCGGACGACCACGCCCCTTCCCCGCCCTCGCCCCGCCCCTACCCCAGAGCGCAGATAATTAGCTAACCTTCTGCATTGTATATGCTCTCCATGTGGAGCTCAAGGGTCCTCAAACTTGCTTTACTACTTATAAGTCAAAAGCCAACTATGGTTCAGCTGATATCTCCAGAATTTATAAAAATCTAATATTTAAATCACAAGGTAAACTGAAAAATTTTAAACACTAAGTTACACTGATCAAGTGAACACTTACTTCCTCTCACCCCTTTAGAAGAATTTTTACAGGAGTAGGACAAGCAGCCTTTCGCTCAGAGCAAATGGGAGAAACAGAAAGAACATTCTAAGAGGAAGGAAAATATTGTCCTTTTCTTGGTGGTGCCTCCCATTCACTGACAAAGTTTATGTAGATTTTGTCTTTCTAACTTTCCAATAGTAAATTCCTGGGCCTCCATTTCCTCAGATGAAAAGTAAGAATATATACCCTTCAAAGTGATTATAAGCCTGATAAAATGCCCATGAAATTCCTAGCATCCATAAAGTAGTCAAGAAATTATGGCTAATTATCCATATTAAAAGTCTTGGCAGATAGAGATTGTGGTGAACTTGAGCTCTGTAAGTCTAGTGTCCATATCAAGAGTGTTCCTTGCAGGTAGTTTATTCAAGTTCTTGGGTTGCAAGCAACAGAAACTAAATTATGCTACCTTAAGAAACTAAACTTGAGGGATGGTTCACCAAGTTAAATAGAAAGGAAAATAACCAAACGCTTAGAATTCCAAGAATTAGGTCAAATTCATGGGTTCCATGAGCCAGGAACAGAACTCACGAACAATCTCCATAGAATGAGCTCGCTGCCTGGCTTCCTTCTTCTGGGATTCAAATATCCCGAGCAAAGATCCTCAGAGTGTGGCCCCTGGACAGCCACACCTGGAAACTCATTTGGAACACAAATCCTCAAGGCAAATCAGTAACTCAGAAACTCTGCAAGGCAACCCCTGTGATCTGTGTTTTAACTATTCTTCCTAGTGATCCTGGTATGAATCTATCATGAGAAATTCCCCTCACCCCTTCTCCCTAATTAAGCCACATTCCCAACTCCTGGAGGAGGTGGGGAGGGTAGTGATAAACTGGATTTCCACCCAAAATAGGGGAGACAGAGTTCCCCAAAATTGAAGAAGGGTGAAGGGATTCAGGACCAAAATAAAACATCTGTAGGAAAAGAACTCTGAGAATTCAGTCTTAGTGTCTCCCATGCTCCCAGGCTCTTCTTTCCCCCATTGTGGGAATCATGATTATTAGTTGCAAGTGTTGTTAACTTTAGTAACTCCATTTTGTTAAGTTCCTCCACCTTAGAAGGTGGTGTATTTCCTTTGCGGAATTCCTGAGAGTTGCAGCTTCTTGTCTCTGACCCTCAGACGTGTGGTTGTCTGGGTTACTACTACCCATGGTGGTTGTTTTTGTTGAGCCTGTTTTCTCTTTCCTGTATGAACTCTCATTTCTGTGGAGCAGGTGTTGAGGTTACTATGGTAATTCTAGCCCATAATAGTTTGTGGGGTTTTTTTTTTCCTTTAAAAGGCTGATGCTTGCCTGCAATAAACATCGCCTTGATCAGACTCTTGTCTTGGCGTCCTTTCTTTCTCTCTGCCCCATCTCCACCCCCCGCTGCTCTTTCAGGTTTGAGACACTGCTGGACAGTACTCTGCATCGCCGGCTCGTGACACCCCATTATCCAAATGTCCTAGGTTTGTCCCCTAGCAACCCCAACTGAGCTTCTGCTGGAACTCCAGAAAGATGCTTACCACATGGCCTTCATCCTTCCCCAAAGTACCTCCCATCTCCCTCATCTTCCACAGACATCAGAGGCACAAGAACGTCTTTATTTCAGGGTCAGGTGGATCTCAAGAAGGTGGTGAGGGTAGGGATAAGATCAGAGATTAATTCATTTGTTCTCATATACAGGGTTAGAAAGTATAATTGCCCTCTATTGCTGCTGTAACAAATTAAGTAGTTTAAACAAGCGTGCAATTATTCTCTTATAATTCTATGCACCCAAAGTCCAAAATCAGTTTTCTGAGCTGAAGTCAAGGCACTGGCTGTGCTGTAGTCCCTCCAGAGGCTCCAGTGAAGAATCTGCTTCCTTGCCTCTTCCTGCTTCAGGTACAGCATGCGTTGCATTCCTTGCCTTGTGGTCCTTTCCTCCACCTTCAAAGCCAGCACCAAAGCATCTTGCTTGGAAGACTTTTGATCACACATGGTACATGTAGTAATCAAGGCTAATCCCCCATCTCAAGATGCTTCGCTGGTCACCTCCGCAAACACCTTCTTCCACCTAAATTTATCAGAGGGTGATCAATCCTCCAATTGCCTAGAAAGGGGGACAGTGAGGGCTAAAGAAAGACAATAGAGACTTGCATGCTTTCAAAGAACTTGAGGGGCCAGGAGGTCACTGCTGAGGCTGTGGCTGCCCTCAGAAAGTTCTGGGGGTCCCCACTTGCCTGGAGCAGAAGGGAAAAGGCAAAGTGCTCACAAGGCACTAAGTGGGAAGATGAGGGCGGCAAGTGTTGGATAATGAGGATTATTTGCTGAATGATAAACTATTTTCTACACTTAAAAAAATACAAAGTGCTAGGGATAGAGCTCAGTGCAAAGGTCCAGAGCTCCATCCCTAGTACCATAAACAAATAATAACTAAATAATTTCTATTAAAAAGGAGAGGTTACAATCGGTGACCTTTAAACCCAACAAAAATCCACTCTTTAGCAATCCCTGAACTGAGTCAAAAGCTCTATCATTTACATAGATTCCTCCTCAGCTCTGTAGAGACCAGATAATCATACCTCAACTGGGGTTCACTAATGGGTAAGAAATACTAGGAGATTAACGTGAAAACAACGATTTCAAAACACCCTGTCTATAACCTGGACAAAAAACATCAGCATGATGTAAGTAGCACTTTTGAATATCAACATTACCCCTGGTGTGTTCTTTGCCCTGAGCATTATCGGTCTTTGTTGATGTTTGATACTTTCCTACTAGTACAATACAACATTCGGTGGGTGGGGGGCTTGGGCTTAAATTATCTGTAGCAAAAAACATTTGGCTTATTTTTTTTTAATTGGTACCGGGGATCGAACTCAGGACCTTGCACTTGCGAGGCAGGCGGGGGAACCACTGGGCTAAACCCCCGGCCCACAATTTGCTTATTCTTGAGAACTTTCCTATTGCTGATTCCATTTTTTAAAATGCTGCACAGATAAATTTCAGTGTCAGCTGCCACTTACACACTTAGCCATTAAAAAGAAGTTGTTTCATATGGACAATGTTTCTTCCCCTCCCCACCTCTGTTTCTGTCCTCAGTCCCCTGGGCCTTCCCCACAGGCCCCTTCCCCAACTCTGTTGTGCAGATCAAACACTGAACTACATCCCAGTCCTTTTTTTTTTTTTTTTTTTTAATATTTTGGTACCGGGGATCAAACTTGGGACCCTGCACTTGTGAGGCAGGCAGTGGAACCACTGAGCTAAATCCCCGGCCCCTCACTGCCCCCTTTTTTTTAAAGACAGGGTCTCACTAAGGTGCCCTGGCTGGCCTCGACTTGCAATGCTCCTGCCTCAGTTTCCCAAGTAGCTGGGGCATCAGTACTACCACACTCTATGTTTTTATGGATGCCCTTTACTTTTTAATCTCTCCAGTCTGGTTCTCAAGTCCTTCCCTTGGAGAGAGTCAACGTCTTCCAGTATAGGAACAGTTTCTGTCTTTGGGGCCCTTTTGTCTGGCATGAAGTTTCAGCTCCAGCCTGGTGCTCATCAGAGCGGCTCAATGAGATGTTGGCTGATTCCCCAGGATGGGTGCTCACTCTCCAGCGCAGGACCAGGACAAGAGCTGATCTCACTCCCGGAGCTTCTCAGTCTGCCTACTTCAGAAGCAGCACTCCACCACTGGTGTCTAGAGCCCGCACATGAACAAAAGGTATTCATGGGCAACCCACTGGGGACCCCTCCTGCCCTCAGGACCTATTCTTATTCCCCGTTCCCATTCCCCAGTACATTTTCCTACTCTTAAAAAAAAAAGTATTCTTGTTAGCATCCCTTTGACAGACATCGTGAAACAGGAACCTAGCATTTTTTTCTTTAAATTCCAAACCATCTCTCCCAACTTTTTCTATTGCAAGTCTTCCCTAACATCTTAGTTCTTTGCAACCCCATTTGGATTTTCCCCTCAGCCCATGATGCTACTATCCTGATGCTTCAGGAAGGAACCTGAGTTCTTTCTCATCTTCACCTTTTATGCCTGCAAGCCCTGTTGACTCTACCTTTAAAATATATCTGGCATCTGCCCATACCTTCTCCAGCTCCTCCAGAACCATCCTAGTCCAAGTAGGGTTACTAGGTAAAATGCAAGATGCTCAGTTAAAGTTGAATTCCAGGTAGACAATGATTTTAGAAAATGTCAGTATGCCTGGGCAAAATATGAATTTCAAATAAGCAGATAACTTCTTACTGTGAGTGTGTCCCGTGCAATTTTCAGGATGTATTTATGCAATCATCCCTTGATATCTTCAGATGATTGGTTCCAGGGCCCCTTTAGATACCAAAATTCATGGATGTTCAAGTCCCTTATCTAAATGATGTGATATTTGCGTTTAACCTATACACGTTCTCCTGTATACTTCAAATCATCCCTAGATTACTTATGATGCCAAAATACAAGGTAAATAGTTGCTATATTGTGTTGTTTAAGGGCTAATAATAAGAAAAAGTCTATACATGTTCAATGTAATGTAAATGCAATTTTAAAAAATATGTTTCATTCATGGGTAGATAAATCCACAGATATGGTATTCTAAAAAAAAAAATCCTTTGCTTATCTGAAATTCAAATTTAACTGAGTGTCTTGTATTTGTATTTGCTAAATCTGGCAAGCCTAAACCCAAGGTGCTGTCCCCAAGCCTGGACTGCAGCATAATTTCCAACTGGTCCT